TGAAATTACTCATGCAAATGCTACAAGGGGAAGCGCGAGGAACAAGTGTTTTGGTGTCTTATCCATCCTTGAGGCGTGGTCCGTCGTGTTGGAAATTGGATTTCTGATGATGCAGTTCTGGTTTTGCTTATTTAAAAAAGGGATACACAGCGCATCACATTCCTGACTTTTTCCTCGCAAAGATAATGTAAAGCAATAAAGAAAACTTTTATAAAACAGAAAAGAAATAAAGAAAATATATATATAAATATTACACGTTACTATTGGATTTGGCATTTCATCTGGAATGGGCCAAGGCTTTTTCCAAGTGGGCCAGAACTGTACCAGCAGGCTGAGTTAACCTTCTACTCACTGGTTCTCTGCAACTCATCGCCTTAAGCCCAACAGAAGAGATGAAAACAGAGCTCAAGTTTTTGAAATTGAATGCACGGAGACCAACTTGTACCATTGAAGGTTTGGCTGCTTCTCCCTGTCAACGAAACTAGTCAGCATAAAAAATCTAGATCGTGCAGTAAAACAAGATGAAGACAATTCTTTTTATCAGCAGTATGTGTTGGTGCGTCAAGCGCGAGACGCCTTTCTTCTTTTGTGTGGTTTCTGTGTTAAGCAAGGCAACACTGTACCTGCAGCAGATACCTAATAGACTCTTCGGGCAAGAACAAGTGAAATATGAAGTATGATGGGAATTTGATCCAAGTGTGTGTGGCAAAAACTTGAATCTCGTTGTTTCTAATACGACACACAAATTGGGCTCTAACTTGTCAGATTTTTGCTCAAGCCCTCCAGTAACCCAAGCAAGCCCACTTCTTAATTTAAATGAGAAGCAAATGAAAGACTTGGCCCAATTAAGAACCAATACGACAAACCTCCAATGTTAAGTACTTAAGTCTAAAACTCAGCGTTTAACTACACACAATCTTTCCTCCTTCAATTCTCGATCAAAGAAGCTGTGTGTATATCTCTATCAAGAACAGAGGATGTACACCAAGAACACAACACTTATAAACCCAGAAAACTTAAAAGCGATCTTATATAAAACCAGGTCGTTGAGGTCGATGTACCAAGCACGTCCCAGTTGTTTCCTTGAGCTTCTTATCCTTGGCAAATCCTGATCGGATTCTCGTTGTGTGATCTCCGACGATTCACTAAAGTTCTTGCGTTGAAGTTCGTCGTAACAATATCTATCCAAGAACACTTTGATCAATCTGAACCCGATCGATCAAATTCACTCACACAGAACCCCGAATTGCTTCCCCAGCAACTCGTAACCAGTGTTTCCCCAACACTAATCCTCAAAGTTGTTCTTCCCGAACTCTTTGAGAAATCCCCTTTTCTATGAAACTCGCTACACTCACAAAATCCCCTCTTGTCTAGCTAGTCCGAACAGTTTGCATCTTCTTCAACGTCAGCTCCTTTTATATTTGCACTTGTATTAGCCGTTGGACTTCAGAATCCTCTTTTTTTTTCCCCTTCCTTTTTAGCCTGCATAAGAGGTAGGTTTCTCTTTCTGCAATCTCAATCAAACCGTTAGTCACGATACATAAACTATTTGCTTATGAGAAGCTTCTTATCCCAACAATCTCCCCCTAAGCTTTTCATTAGCAATAGGAATATCTTATACACCCAATGCTTACCGTATAACCTATTTGCTTATGATAAGCTTCTTATCCTAACAGTATGTAATATGTTTACCAGCAGAACGGCCGATCAACTTTGCAGATGAGTTAGCTTTTCTCGCCCTCTTTCTGTTACTCTGCTCTGGCCTGCTTTCTTTCTTGGCAACCTTCTCGGCCGCTGAAACATCAACCTCAACATTCTCGCTTTTTGTAGGCCCAGTGGCTTTACCCTCCTCAAGGAATTTCAAGGGTCTTTGCCACGCCATTGCTTACAACTGACTTTGAGGACTTCTCACTTGCTGAAACGGGTACTCCAGAAGGACCAACAACTCCTGCTGTCAACTCTTTATTTGGCTGAAAAGAAGTTAAGGACTTGTATCGCACACCTAAAAGGAACTTAAAATAAGAGAAGGGGAGAAGACAAGGATATGACATACTCTTTTTTTATTTTTATAATGATAACGAAATGACATACTTCAGCAGCCTCATCAACCAACGCCCTGGTATGATCTCAAATGGATCAATTCAAGACTCCCAATTGTTTGTCACGAAAGCCAACCTCTTCCATATAAAGAATGCTGAATTTTGGCCGTGTCTTTTGTCCATTTCAGGGAACCAACTTTGCAATCATGGTCGTCGCAATTGGCTTGATGAAAATGGGAAGTTAAGAGTTTGTTTCGAAGATCAAATGTTCCTCTACACAATGGAGTGCCTAGGAGCTCAAGGAGAAGCCAGGAGAGTCACCTGCCAAGCTCGTGAAGATGCTGCCTCGACACTAGAAAAATGGCAGAATTTAGCCAAGTGTAAACCTGTGATTGAGGAGGCTGCTTTGAAGCTCAAAACGAAGAAGGTGATTGAGATTCAAGCACTGGGGTTTACACTACATGAAAGTAGGTATTACTTACTACAGAGGAGTGGAATTGGTTGATCAAAACACCGCCTTGAAGCTTTCGAACGAAAGTCTGCAAGATCGTACGAAGACTGACCAAGCTGCCTTGCAAACCAGCGAATCTGAATCCTTTGCGGATTAGGATTCCTCTTTACCCTTTTCTGTTTGAACTATGATTTCATCTGTAAGTTAACCTAGGTCTATTTAAAGTCTTTCAATTGCATTGTAAGGGACAGAATCGATTAGTTGAGCAAATTGTGAGTTTTGGTTCATTAAGCTTTGGCTTCGTGGATTGTCGAGTTGCTTGGTGGACTCCAGGTAGCTTGTTTGCTTGTATCGATCAAGAAACCCCATTAATCGTGGTCAGCCTCTACCCCATACCTTTCGAGCCTTCGTCCTAGTGTACGATTGCACGAAAAGTTCCATCCAAACCCATCCAAGGTTACCCTGTTTTCTGTTCGAAGAAGAGTTGATCTTCAACTCAACTCTTGGCTGCGCTTCTTTGATCCAAGAGTCCCATCTAGGGCTCATCACGCCCCATCTGACTTGCTTCCTTCTACCTGTAGCAAGTTTGTCCAGTTAGAAACAAGCAGATCATACAGAGACATCAAAGGATGTAACTTAGTTTGAACAACAGACAAACGATATCTCTTCAAACTGGATCACTGGAATGCTGATAATTTCATGAAAAATGACAGAACAATAGTTCCATGTTGGGTAAACAGCCTCATTAGCTTCTGATATTCGGTCACAAAGAAAAGCCAACCTAAGAGAGGATAAAATCCAATGATACAACATAACAACCGTCCACCCAGATTCCTCACAAGCCAAGTTTGCTGAGCTAGATATTGTCCACAAACTAAGGTTAGAACTTAGAACACATGAAAAGGCGACCAATAGTCCAAAAGGAATCATTGTAATGAAGAATGCAATACAGCAATTCAATAAGTCATCTAGACTGTTCTGTTTGAGACGAAGGCTCATATCATCGGCGCAATATGCTCCCTTGGGTTGGAGCAGTTAGTTTTGAGAAAGAAGAGATCGGAGGGGATGAATAAGATTGGATAGGTTTGTCTTTTCGCAAATTCGGTCCAAATCTCACAGGCACAAGTAAATTGAACCCCAAACTACACCTTGAAGTGGTCTGTTTTCCCTTGGGAATAGGGCTGTTAATGAACCAAGCCGCTCATGAACGACTCGGTGTGCGACTCGAGAAAAATTCGTTCGACACTCGATTCGTTTTAATCGAGCCGGCTCACGAACAAGCTCGTTAACTAAACGAGCCGAACTCGAGCCATACCATGTTCAGCTCTAAAGCTCGCGAACAAGCTCATTTAATATTTTGGCATAAAAAAAGGATTATAATTCATAGATTTTATGTATTGAAATTGGGATAAATATTGTGTTTTACTTTTCTAGACTTTGTTACAGGTTTGAATGTAATTTTGTGCGCAGTTCTAGGTCAATCTTGAGCTATCATGAAAATTTTATGAGCTAAACTCGAATTTGGGCTCGTTAAGCTTATTTGACGAGCCGAGCTCGAACTTTCATTTTCATAAATGAGCCGAGCTCGAACTTTCATTTTCATAAATGAGCCGAGCTCGAGCTTGCATATTAAAGCTTGTGACGAACACGAGCCGAGCTCGAGCCTAGAAATATATTAACGAGCCGAGCCCAAACTATGGCAAAGCTCGGCTCGACTCGGCTCATTAACCGCCCTACTTGGGAAGCATTAGAATTTGCAAAGAATAGGTCTGTTTTGAGTTGGGAGGGGAAGCGGTCGGAAAGTATGAGGATAGCGGAGCGGATCAGAATCCTAAGAGAATTAGAGAGGTTCTAACAAACAGAACAATTGGACTCTCCAGAGAGGAGGGTGAGCTTGCCGCCGGCTACTACCATGCTATCACCCTTATATACATGAGAAGCTTAAAAAAAAGAGAGAGCAAGGGCAATAACTGCAGTCGCAATGGTTTGTAAAGATTATGCAGATCTCCTAATAAACTGATCCTGTCTTCATGTTCACTCTAATGACGACTGGACGGTTAGTGTGGACGAACTTCAGCAAGTACCTAATGAAAAACTAACCTTAGGGACTCGACTAAGAGGACTAAATACTAACGAAATGAGACAGCTTTTATGGAAAGAAAATTCAAGATACTGAAACTATGCATACTACATAATTGAGTACTCTAAAGCTCTACGCTTCCTTCTCGGTTTTTGACGGACAGGGGGAGGCATCTGTTGCTCCCCTGCAACAACAAATTAGAGCGATCTATGGTTCTAAACAGCATAAAGTTACCACACCAATCCATACAAGTTTTTGACAAAAGGAGGCAATGTCATTTGCGGTGAAATGATTCCAGCAGTCCAAAGTGCAGATGAAAGCTATTCAGAGCATGGGAAACATCTAATTTAGTTTAACAGATTCACACTAGATATTAAGACCACACCACAAAAAGCAAAGAAGCCCCATGTTCAGCCAGTGAAACTGGAAATCAGCTACAAGCGGCATGGCCAATCCTCCACAAGTAGCCCTGGAAATTTTGGAGCCCTGCAATCACATTGCCCTGAGACCGGCGTGCCAAAATCTCCCAACTAGTCAAAACAAGAGATGAGCTCAGCACCTTGCAAAGGCACTAAAAGGAAAAACAGCACAAAAGACGGTAGAGAATTCAAAACACAAGCATATTTATCACAGTCACCAGGGTGACAGTTTGTTTCTTCTCCTTCTCCCAGTCCCACGAGAAACCACACAAAAATGAACACAGGCCGTGACATTAGTTCCATCAATGGAGGATGACGGGTAGGTAATAGATAGGAGAATCCTCACTCTTAAACACTCGAGGACAAGCCAAGTCTAGGAAAGTTAAACAACCATAATATCCACATGGAAACATCCAGAGTGTCAAGTACTAAGAAGGAAGAAAGGATAGCAACTGGTACTTGGAACAAAAAAACTTACCACTATAGAGAGAATCCGATGCAAAGATTTCACATGGCTGAGCAATCCAGCTCCTTCACCAAACACCCGTCTCTGCCCATCCACAAAATTATAGGAATCTTGTGTTGATGAGTAGTTGAACAATGGATGAAATGAGAACTCATATACAAGGGAAAGAAATTACAGACCTATATAGCTGGTGCGGGTAAAGGCAGTGATTTTAGAGCAACCAAAATCATGTGTAAAAACACCGAAATCCTCCACCGCGCCTAAGATTTCACAACCACCATTATCATCAACCAATTTAAACTTGTAAACCTTGAACTGGTTCTTCATTTGGAACGGATTAAGTCCCCACCAGAGAAAGAGACAGTAGACATCACCATCTCCAAAAGGAACCACCATTGCGTCCCCATATAGACAATCAGATGGTAGACGCGACGCTAACTCAGAAAGAGCACACAATTCCCTAATCTTGTGTTCCTGCTGCAGCAGATCAGCATAACTTGCCGAAGCATTTGACATGAACTTAACAAGGATGGTATCAAAGGGGCGATGACGTTCACGCCTTCCCACCATAAACAACCGACCATTGTGAACAAGATTCGAACAGTGCGCCTCAGGAACAGGTTGGGTATCATAGGTGTTTTGTAATAATCATCATCAACCTCAGTAATGATGCGACGCCACTTTAGCTCTTCCATGTCAAGAGCAAACACACGGTTGCCAACATGATTGTGCATATAAACAATCAATTCCCTCCCTACAACTACATGACCCATGTAACCTGGAAGCGAATAGCAAAATGGGATCTTATTGGGATCCCACATCTCCAATGGCAGATCAACGACTTGCGTGGAGAGATCCTTGAGGTTCAAAACCTCACAAGGAGCAGAGAGGTCAGGTCGGGGTTCGGACCTCTGAACGACCAGGGGTTATAAGCGCTCGACAATATGAAAATCTTGTCATCCTTGTAAGGAACGTGGATCGGCTTGACCTTGGGTCCCTTCAGACGGCCTGCGTATTGCTTGAACTCGAGGGGTTGCTTTTGGATGTCGGGGTCCGTTCCCAGATCGCAGACGTACAGATCTCGCGGGTATTTCCGGTACGGGAAGCCATCGTCGTCACTATCGTCAATACCATTAGGAGAGGTATTAAAGTCATTACCACCAAAAGCATATAATTTCGAATCTACGAGTGCGAGACCCATCTCCGCGGAAATCGCAGCTGGGGGCGACGGTAACGGTGGCGGTGCGAATTCCAGCCGCGTTGGTGTCGTTGTGATCATAGGCCGCCGTCTCGTTTTTTCGGCCCATCAGAAAGATGGTCACCTTATTTATGGAACCAGCAACAATTCCACTATCCCACCACCTCCGCCGGGGCTTCTTCCGCTCCGGCGACGCGACCGCCGAGTCCGAGTCGGAGGACATTGTTAGCGGCCACGCTACCGCCTCCGAGCACGAGCACGAGCACGAGCCCGAGCCCGAGTCATCAACAATTAGGGTAAATTCGTCTGCGTGAAATAGAGGATTGGGAATGGGCCAAGCCTACTTTCAAGTGCAGGCTGAATTCTTCGCTCTTGGATGGCCCAAATAACGATCGGGAATGGGCCAAGCCTACTTTCAAGTGGGCTTGAACGGTACCAGCAGGCTTAATTAACCTTCTACTCACTGGTTCTCTGCAAATCGTCGCCAACGGAAGAGACCAAGGCAGGAGTTGAATGCACAGAAACCAAGTTTGTTATCTGAAACTAAAATAATCTATTGATTAAGAAGAAAATGGAAGAAGATCAGCTTCTATTCAACAATGGCTAAGCCCGACGCTCTCTTCTTCTACTGTACTATGTCCCCCTTAAATAACCATTGATTAATTAGATAATAAAATAGAGCGATTAAGGACCCACCTAACAGTACCAACTATCCCTAACCCTTACCCTTCTTTTTTTTTTTTTTTTTTGGAGAAACCTAACCCTTACCCACCTGTGCTTCTGATATCTCAACAATACCAAAGACAGCTAAAACTCCACGCTACAAAATGCTCCCCTTAAACTCGCTCCATAAAAATTCCATATGCACGGAGAAAAAGAACCCAAGCTTCTGCCTTTCCTGCTGCTAATGCTCTCTACATGAACGCCAACTCTCAGACCCGAATTTCGGAACAACATCCATCCATCCATCCATCTTCATCAAGTTTAGCCTCCCCTTGGCCGCTTCTTCCCGCTCTTTGCCTCACTGGCCTGTCCCTTTGATAACGGTTTATCCTCGATAGTCTCCTCCTCTTCTTTCATCGACTCGTCACCAGAGCTGTCTTCCACCTCAGTGTCTTTTGCCTTGGCCGAACCAGTTTTGGGCTTCCCTGTACCATTAGCTTTGGACTTCGCGCCACCCTTGATGCCTTTACCCTTGGCAATGGAGGAAGCTATCTTCGGGCTCTCAGCCTTGGAGGATGATCTCCCGCCAGGAGTCTTCTTGGTTGATTGTTTGGATTTCGGCAACTTGGCAGAAGAGCTAGCGCCACCATCGTCTTTCGACTTTGTACTTGCAGTAGCTTTAGAAGCCGCAACAGAGTCGTCGGTGGTCTTGGATTTCCCTGGAGTTTTGGAAGATGGAACATCACCTGATTTACCTCCACTCTTGAGGGTAGGCTCCTTGGTTTTGGCACCGCTATCGTCCTCTGTTTTCTTGGAAGCCTTGGAATCTGCGGCATCAGTTTCATCGACTTCCTTCGGTTTCCGACCTGGTTTCCCACCAGCTGCTACACTCTTGGATTTGCTAGAAGCCCCGCCACCCCTATAACCAATCAAATCCAGTATTGAAAGAAATGAGCACAAGTAGCACCATCAGAGGTGCAATGTGGAAAAATAAAAATTCATGTCACGCACCTTTTAGGGGAAGCATCCATCTTTTCCTTTTTAGCCGACTGCTCAGTTTTTGCCTTCTTCTTTACCGGTCTGTAAAGGGAGGACTCGGGTTATAACTTAGCAATGACTGAGACCAATGGAATTGTAGTAGAAAAGAAAGAACTCATGAGTTCAGTAGGGGAAACATATACGCGGGACACATACATCTCAGATGAAGCATCGGGACTTGAAGGTTTGGCTGCTTCTCCCTGTCAGCGAAACTAGGTCAACAAAAAAATCTAGATTGTGCAGTAAAAAAACAAGATGACAATTCTTTTACCTCATCCTCCGAATCAGATGCACCAGATTCACTGTTAATGAACTTAAACTTCTGTCTCTTCATATTTAAAATTTCTTCATCGCCATCATCATAAACAACCTACAGAGCACAAAGATAGACGGAAATTATAGGAAGGAAATTCATTAAACCGAAAGGGAAAGAACCGTTCTATCCGTATGTAACAAGTATGACTTACCACATGTTTCTTTTTGGTAGCATCGTACGATTGAACAAAGCCCATATAAAACCTGCAGAAACATCGATGGACAGAAGAGATATGAACTTGAAGTTTTAACTAAATAAATTTTTTGCTTTATTTACCAGTAACTCAATTTCAGAAAATGACCAAGTTGGAATCAACGTGTCAAAAAAAACTAAGTAGATAGAAGAGGCATTTGAGTTTGACAATCACCAGTAGTTGGGGCATTTTACTAAACATCCTCAGCTATTTCAGGGATTGACAATGCATAAGAAACGAAAGAAGATTTTTCTGGGACAACCATATAACCCAGAGATAGTAAGACAGCCAGCCATGAGTAGAAAAGACCTGAAGATGAACCTATATTGGAAATATACTATAGAGTAGGTGCACTAAAGAGTCTGCAATATCGAGAGGAGCATAGACAAGAAAACCAGACAGAAAAGACAGACACCCATGCCAATATTTAACAGGGACTGCAGAAATCAGGAGATTTACTATTAAACTAGAATAGCCCAGCATTTCCATTTACACCTATATAGTAACATGACACCGAAGCATCTAATTAAACTTTCTAAAGGCAAAAGCAGGAAACTTACTTACGGTCTTGTGGCCAGTATACTTGTACCCTAGAACCGACGATTTCGTCTCCATAACCTTTAGCATCAGATGCCTATAAGAACAATCGCAACATAAGCACATTGTTTGTTCAATTCAAAAACTAATAGTATATGGGAAACAGGTGACCCAGTGAAAATAACAACTTGGATAAGGAAAAAGGAAAGGAAGCCAACATGACAGAAGATAATACAATATGACCCAGACAGTACTTCAAAGCTACTTGTGCTAACAACATGAATCGAGTATCAACTCCATGGTAAAAGGTTTCATCTATATGAGAAAACCGGATTTGACCAATTGAATTATGTGAGAACTGATTTATATGTTCGTATACTACATAAGTATTACCCACTAAGAAGGAACCCCTGCATGACAGATGTGATTCAGAACCACGAGCCTTCATGCTTTAATCAGAAAAGCTGAAGATAGCAGCTCAAAGAACAAATAGTGAAAATTTTGGAAGCACAAAGAGTAAACAACAAATATAAGACAACAACAAGGGCATAAGAGGTTAAGACAAACAGTTATGCATCAATGCAATCTTCACTCCAAACAACATACCACTTCTTTTTCTGCGGACTTCCCTACATCACGTTTCCTTTTGCTACTTGTCTTGGGAGTCTCTTCAATTGGATGTTCTTCTTTCCCTTGTTTTATTGCAGACTTCAGGGATGAAATATTTTCCTGCACAAATAAAAGAACAAGATAAAAAGATATAAATTCACCAGAACTATGAACTCAAAAGTAAGGAGGAAGATAATGTACATTGTCATCATCTTTGGGTAAAGTTTTCGCAACATTTTTCCCCGAGACAGCTTTTCCGCGCATGCGTCGGTTCTTATCTTCAGACTGCTTTAACGAAGATCCTTCTGCAGTCTTACTTCCTTCATCTGCCTTAGATGACTGCTTCAGTAGTTTGGCGTCTAACTCACTTCCACCACTTTCTTTCTTGGATGTCTCAGTTCTCTTTACCGATTTATCATTGTTTGAGGTTCCAGAAGGTGCCTTTCTACCAGAGCGTTTGGTGGTCTTCACTTCTGAGTCGCTTGTCCCTTCTGATGCCCTTTTTTGGACATCATCAGTAGATTGCACCAGCTCCTTTACTGAACCCTCTTTCTTCTTCAAACGAGCAACCTTTTTTGCAAGAGTTTCATCAACAGGGCTTTCACTCGCAGATGGAGAAGCAGCCAAGGACTCGCCATCCACAGCTTTAGGGGACAAAGGCTGCATATCATTTTTTAGCTTACTTTCAGAAGCCCCAGCAGCATCGCCTGACACAGATTGATCTGCATGAGGTGAATTTGGAGCATCTATGCCGTGACTTTTGCCTTCAGGAAGCTTCTCAACTTCTTTATCATCAGCAGTATGTTTACCCTCAGAACGGCCGATCAACTTTGCAGATGAGTTAGCTTTTCTCGCCCTCTTTCTGTTACTCTGCTCTGGCCTGCTTTCCTTTTTAGCAACCTTCTCGGTCACAGAAACATTAACCTCAACATTTTCGCTTTTTGTATCCTCAGTGGCTTTATCCTCCTCAGGGGCTTTCAAGGAATCTGATTCAGCCAAGGACTCAGCTACCCTTGTCTTTGCCACGCCATTGCTTACAACTGACTTTGAGGACTTGCCTGCTGAAGCGGGTACTTCAGAAGGACCAACTCCTGCTGTCAAATCTTTATTTGCCTGAAAAGAAGGAAGGACTTATATCACACACATAAAAGAGAACTTAAAATAAGAGAGGGGGGAAAGAGAAGGAAATGACATACTTCGGCAGCCTCATCGACCAACGCCCCATCTGACTTGCTTCCTTCTACCTGTAGTAGCAAATTTGTCCAGTTAAACATGCAGATCATCCAGAGACATGAACAACAGACAAAAGTTACTCAGAAAGATGTCTGACAGTATCAACATCCCAAACAAATCTCTTCAAAAGGGAAACAGAAATACTGAGAATTTCATGAAAATTGACAGAATGATAGTTACATGTTGGGTGAACAGCCTCATTAGCCTCTGATATTCAGTTACAAAGAAAAGCCAACCTAATAGAAGATAAAATCCAATGATACAACATAACAACCTTCCACACAGCAACCTTACTACCCAAGTTTGCAGAGCTAGATATTGTCCTACAAACTAAGGTTAGAACACATGAAAAAGACTACCAAAAGTCAAAAAGTCATCTAGACTGTACTGTGACTGCCATTTTAGTGTCAGCAGCAAAAGAGCCAGAGGTGATACACCAGCAAAAATGACCATTGGCTTCTAGTTCCAAGAGAGGAACGGGCACTTACTTTA